TTTTGTGTAAATTGTACTGACATGTGATTCGTGTTTATTATATACATACATTTGTATGTACAGTGGATAGTGAAGAAATGAGGGATTTCGAAGGATTCGTCCAAGTGAAACGGAGATTTCCTTCAACTTTTCCCTGTTTTCTATTGTTTGAATACCCGACGAAGGATGCATCGACTGGCTTCGATTATAATGGTGAGAAAAATAAATAAATTATACCTTACAGTCCTTTTGTTTACTATGAAATTGCATACGATTAACATAAAATTAATAATAATTCTATACTGAAACATGGTATTTGAGTAATTAATTCATATAGTACTGATGTTAAAAGTGAGACTTTTATTGTTAATAAATTGTTAATGATTGATTTTGGAGGAAAATGTTTCAAACAAATGTTATAACTACTAGTAATAGGTACAAATAAGGTTCTACACAATTTTCTTGTAACTGTAATACTTTAGGAGTAATAATCAAAAGCACGAGACTCTAGTTTCTAAGTAATAGAATTTCGATAGACAGTATTAGTTTATTGCATATAACTCGTTAATTATTGGTCCTATGAAAAAATGTATTAAACAAAACTTGTGGGTTCTGATAACATCTACAAATTAGGTTGTGTACAATTTTGTCGTAAGTCCAATACCGCAGGAGTAATCATGCAAAGTGGGAGACTCTACCTTCTTACGATAGAGAGTATCAGTTTATTGCGAACAATTTGTTAATTTTGGTTCTACCAAAATATTTCCTATACAAAAATTGTAGCCTCAGTCGTCAGCTAAAAATAAGGCTGTATGCGATTTTCGTTCAGGTCCAATAGTTTGGAAATAATTGTTATCAATTCTAGATATTACATTTTGAGGAACACTATTGTCGAACTCTAATTGCTGACAACCAAGTTAATAATAATAACTTCGTTCACAACTCAAATTAAAAGTTAAATTTTAAACTATAATTTAGTACCTCCACCAATCTTGTGTAACGTACTTAAATCACGACTAAATGAAAATTTGTCGAATTTGAAAAATTAAATTCTACTGAAAAATATTGCCAAACGTCAGTCCTTAATAATTTTTTTGATATTGGCCGAAATAAGTTCAACATTACCTCAAATTAAAGCTTGAACTCCCTACTTGAAATTTTTCTCTTATAGTTTTGTTTAAACCAGTTTCTAAAGAGGCCAGAATTGACCTTGAAGCAAGGGTAGTCGACTTCCAAGAAATTCCATTATTGATCTTGTATATGTGTATATACGTATATACATGATACATTATGGAGATAGAAATCTACACGCACTGTACAGAATATAGAGAAAAGGGTGAAATATCAAATAACTTACCCGATTATTTCATTACAAGGCCTTGTATTAAGAAAATATTTGTTTGTTTTAAAATATGCAATTATTATTTGTATAAAATATAAGACGATTAATTTTTGTTCTCATTCAAAGAACAATAAATAATATACAGGGTAAGCCAGTAAAAAGTACCATACACAATAAAGTGTTGTTTAACCCTTTGAGCGCTATGAACGCATATTTGGGTATATACATAACCATTTAATTTCGGCTATGAACTATGAACGCATATATGGGTTCTCACGCAACCACTCAACTTGGGCTACGAACGCATATATGCGATTGATGCTACCAAAGGTTTTTGAGGTTGTACCAGTGTAACCACGTACTTATTTCTCGACATTTGTTCTTTGCTTTTTAGTATTTCACTTTAAATTGCTCTATATCATTAATAACCTCACGTATTATATGCATTCGCGTTGTCGTAAAAAATAGGTAGCCCACAGCGGGCGCTCAACATCACATCACTCAGCAGCGCTTAAAGTGTTAATGGTATTATTAAAACAAGCTACACATGTACATAAAATCGTTAAATGACGGAGAAGGAATGTATTTTTAAATTTTGACAAATTCAATCATACGACTCTCAGCTTCTATATAGAATGAAATCAATGATGAGTGAATAATATTATATGGTTATTGTATATACTATACCTTAGGAAACGTAAGAATAGTGATTGTACCTCCAGTTTTGTTCATCCTACTTTCAATGACTTTTGACTTCTACCCGTTATCTTGTTTCCTATTAGTACTTGCTTAAGTTTGTGATTACTGAAGAGCGAATCATAGTGCTACGAGCATTTCTGACTTGGGGTCATTTTTAACTCACAATCAGATGCTATATTCCACGAGTGTTATGCCGGAGCCATTTTTGATTCAAGCCCGTTTTTCATCCCTTCATTAATATATTCGTCCATTCTTTAGAGCATATACTAGTGGAGGCAGTATGCCGTGCTCGGAAAGTGTGGTTAGTGTCACTAGATCTGACATTTAACTAGACGTAAGGGTACATGCTATCTCTCTCACACACATCACTCACACAGCCAATCGCATACGGAGTGAGAGAGATAGCATGTACCCTCAGATCTAGTGACACTGACCACACTTTCCGAGCACGGCATGCTGCCTCCAGTAGTATATGCTCTAAGGACCATTCCATCAACTATTGTACCTGAATTATTTTTGACCCGGGACCATGTTGAAATCATTTTTGACTGGAGGTCATTCGCGATCTATCTCTTCTTATGCCGGGAACATTGACCCACACTCATAGTTCACTAATACCTACTTACTGCCTTTATGCTCCCCACGCTTGTTAGCTTCTATCCCTAGATAGACGAGGTGAGGTACATCACGTACACACCGTTCCATCACTATATACAGATGACTTGAACGATTCTAATGGCCTATTCCCACTGCGTTTTCCCGCTCAGTCCCAGCGAGCGAAATTGGGGTACCCGAGAGCGGAAATACGGACAAGTCAGTACCATAGTTAAGGGAAATGGAGGTATACGGAAAAGCGTGTATAAGAAAAAATGTGTGGGTGACGTCCAGCGGGCCCGGTCGAGTAAGACCCCTGCTAAAGCGAGAGGGTAAAAAAACCGCGGAGAGTGGAAAAGAGACCGAGCATAGCGGAAAATAAAGCGAGAGGGAAAAAAACCGCGGAGAGCGGGAAAGAGACCGAGCATAGCGGCAAATAAAGCGAGAGGGTAAAAAATGTCGCGGAGAGCGGGAAAGAGACCAAGCACAGCGGAAAACCTGGAGATCGGGAAACCTCGGGAGCGGGAAACGTCGAGATCGGCAAACCTCGGGAGTGGCAAACATATATATATAATAACACCCTCGCTCGTCATTCGTTAATTTCGAGCACCTTATCACCCTGATCTGTTTATGTTTCACCCGTCTCTGATTCGGCAACCGCACCCATCGGACGGACCACTCTCTGTCTCTCACCAGATGGCGCGTCGTCCGTCCGATGGGTTTTTTTCCCCTCTCGCTTTATTTTCCGCTATGCTCGGTCTCTTTCCCACTCTCCGCGGTATTTTTACCCTCTCGCTTTAGCAGGGGTCTCACTCGACCGGGCCCGCTGGACGTCACCCACACATTTTTTCTTATACACGCTTTTCCCTATACCTCAATTTCCTTTAACTACGGTACTGGCTTATCCGTATTTCCGCTCTCTGGTACCCCAATTTCGCTCACCGGGACTGAGCCGGAAAACGCAGTGGGAATAGGCCATAACTCCGGACCCATTTCGCACATACACATAGAAAATGTGACGCGTTCTCACTCTCTTTCTCTATCTATCTTTAATGCCTTCCATGCGTTGCCGCTACTTGGATTTGGACCCCACATTTTTTCTATATACAGGGTGTCTCAGAAAAAGTGTTAAAGTCGAAGAGATGTGATTCTGTAAGTGTTTCTGATCAACAGTCTCCTTTGCCAAAATGCAAAGTGAGGTATTGTTTTTAAATTATTAACGAAATACACTGACCAATAAGAGCACGTATAGGGTCCGCGCTAAGCCGCTGTCGAGCATCACGATTCGAGCCAACCTATTCGTAGCTGGGCGCGGGCTGTACGCGTGCTCTCATTGATCAGTGTTTTTCGTTAATAATTTAAAAACAATACCTCACTTTGCATTTTGGCAAAGGAGACTGTTGATCAGAAACTCTTACAAAATCACCTCTCTTCGACTCCAACACTTTTTCTAGGACACCCTGTATGCATCGTGGAGTCATCCTGAAATTCTCGAGTCACTTATACAATGCGTTATCGCTCTCCGTCCGTTATCATACAGTCTTGAAACCTGTGACCCTGTCACAATAAACGAAGAAGAAAAAAGAAACTAAGGGAACGGAATAAAGTAGGAAAAGAACAAAAACAGTTTAAATGGACTAAATTAACTAAAGCTCAACACATTGATATACGTTATTTTATCACTGCCTTTTAGCGTCCATACGCATACAGTGACTCACGAAAGTATTTGAATACCTACTGTGAAATACTTTATTAAGTATAATCAGTATGTTATACAACGCTTACCGAAATAATATTAACACTGTAAGTAGGTATGACTGTTTAGATTATGTACGTAAAATTTCAAACGAATCGAAATATATACACAACAGATATGAATTATTTCTTTCAAACATAAGCATTGTTGAATCCACAAAAGTATTTGAACACACAGAAATTAGTTCCAAGAACCAATAAAGACACAGTTGTCCGGGCACCGAATGTAAACTGATTGTTGTTAGTCGTCATCGTATGTACATTTGTCAGTCTCAGTTTAGCATTCATGGTGAAATATTACGATATTCATTATGTGTCCTAAAAAATCTGAAATTCCTGACAGTGTGAGACAATTAATTGTCAAGTGGCGTAAAGAAGGGAAGACGTATGGCGAAATAAGTAAATTATTAAATATAAATCGGTCTACAATACACTACATCATTAAAAAATCGGAATCTGAAGGAACTATAAGAAATAAATATCGCTCAGGCCGACCAAGAAAACTAACGGAAAGAGAAGAAAGAGTTTTAGTCCGTGAAATAAAAAAAAATCCTAAGATTTCTGCTACAAAACTTGCGACTACAGTTAAAGAGAACTTCAACAAAGATGTGCATCCAGAATTATGCAGAAGACTACTACGAGAAAATGATTATCATGCCAGGGTTCCCAGAAAAAAACCGTACATTAGTGATATTAATAAGAAGAAGAGATTAAAGTTCGCTAAAGAATTTATTAGTAAAGATAATGCATTTTGGAACAAAGTAATATTTTCGGATGAATCGAAATTTAACATTTTCGGATCAGACGGACGCAATTTTGTTTG